CATGCTCCTGAGCGCCACATTTCTGAATGAGTCGATTCCCACTTATTCATTGTCACTGACCGATTGTTAGGTTCTTGTATTAAATTGGAACAATTTTACATTGTGTTATGATATGGATGATACGTAGCTTGGATCTGCGCATTGATGTGACAGGTGAAAACTTCGATCGCGTTGCGGAACCTGAAAATATGAACCTATTTCAAAGATATTTTGCACGTTTAATAACGAGGTCCAGTGACAACTTTTTCGCACTATTGGAAATTGCTATTGGAAATGTTTATTTTTTTCACCCCACCCTAATGAACGTACCCATGAATAAGGTATTACGAAAAGCTTCTCAGAAGCTTTCAAGCTGAACAAATTGGTTGAAATGGCACTGAACATAACAGACGTTGACAAATGCTAACACGTTTGTAAATGCTGCTGCACATACTGTCGATGCTTATTTAGCAGACACTTTTATCCAAAGCGACGTTCATTTTCTGAGAAAGTTGGGGGTTAAGGGCCTCGCTTGAGCCAGTGACCTTGTGGATACGAGCACAACCCGAGTCTGGATGCTGGATGAAGGTTGGAGCCCATGACAGTTGCATAGGGTAGAGATGATTTACGCAGACATGTGTCACGTGTCCCTCATTTTCCAATAATATTGCCTCACGGGGAGTGTGTGCTGTAAGTGGCCCTCATGTTGGACTTCTCGCACCGTACTGTGTTCAGGGGAAGCTGGACTCCCTGTGGACCCTCCTGAGGAGGTGCTATGAGTGCGTGTCCGTGATGAGGCCCCAGCCCGGAGACAAGGTGAGGCTACTGGCGTCAGCCAAGAGTACGGCGGCACAAACTCTTACTGTGACATGTCTGTCCAGCTTATCTGAAAACACAATCTGGCTTAACATTCACCCCATGCTATGATTCAGCTCACCTCCTCTACACTCTCTCCCTCTGTCCCTGCTCACACTAAATTTCATTTACTTTTAGATATTATGACATAATGGCTGTTACGTAAGTCAGCATGTGCAGTGTGGGGAGATCTCAGCAGCTCCTTCTGGTGTTTGACCACTCAGAATTCCATAATGGGTAATCGCTTGGTGTTACTTTTTTGATTAGCTTGCCTGATATTAGATTCTATTGTGTTTTTCATGTAGTTCTTGTTCTCACCACTATCTTGTTACTGGTCACTGTTCTTATACCTATTTGGTCCTTTGATGTATCTGCTTCTGATGTATCTGCCTCACTTGCATGTTGCCTCGCACAAAAGCATTTGCCTAATATATAAATGCAAACGTTATTATTATTGTGCAGCCTACCCGATAAAAATGCAATGTTTTTCTTCTTCACACTAAGCTATTAGTTGTATGTAGATACATTGTAACATGACATGAGTAACATAAGATAAAATGAGACCAGCAAATCTGAAATGTGTCTCAGAAATGTGGCGGGGGTACCAGTAGTTTATGAACTGCAGGTGGAGCTGTTTTGAGGTAACTGACAGGCAGTTGTAATGTCTGTGAGGTCACTGACAGGCAGTTGTAATGTCTGTGAGGTCACTGACAGGCAGTTGTAATGTCTGTGAGGTCAC